CATTTATTTGCATGGCAAAAAATACCGATCACAGGATATTTCACCAATTAATATTTTTAGTTTTGTAAATCTAAAAACCGAACTTTTATCTTTTCTAGGATGGCCCTATTATATCTTAGAAAGATTGAATATATTATACGCAATGTTTAATTTTATTGGATTTCTTTTCTCTCTTTTGAAAGAAATCTATAACCCATGCGCAATACACACACAAGTAAATAGACAAGCAAGCGTAGCACACATACTTTTTGCAGGATTTTTTGGAATTTTTTCCACATCCATAAACAAAATACTTTTAGATGCACAAACAAAAGAATAGAATTTAAAAATATCAACTACACCAAACACATATGACGAATCACAACACCACACAAACACATTACCCACAGCACCACAATTACCGAGTCTAAACCGTTATCACCCCTTATCACTAGTACCACGAAGTTTTAGAAATTTAGCACTGGTAAATATTGCAAATTCAAGACCAAATCATATACAAAGTTCAATTCACCATATAGTAACACAACAATCTCAAAGTGACGATACATATGAAAAAAAAGTCAAACAACCACATACCACAAATTTTCAATCTCAGAACAATCATTTTTTTAGCCCACGATGAGCCGACAAATTGGATCCCTTCACCGTTCAATTTCCCATCCAGCCAATCTCCAAAACCCAATTCCCATCATCCCACTTTTTGCTTTCCCGCCACCTGAATCACCCCATATTAACACATCATCCGGCATGGATTCTGATGCTAACTCAGACATCACAGTTTTTCATACAATCTCTCAATTTAATAATTCAGATATAGAAACCCCAGACGAATTCGCAAACTCAGAACCCAGCCCGTCAACATTTTCTCAACCCCCTTTCGACTCATTCACTCACAAGCCCAAACTGACTACCCCCTCTACTATCTTCCATATTTCCCAAGTAACACCGACATACTCCCCGTTTACAAATGAACGTTCTAACAACAATTCCCCAGATACCACGCAAATCTCATATGAACTAAACAATCTAATAACACTACAACAACAAGTAAAACACCCTCACACCCTAACCATTCATCAATTATCGTCAAAAATAACGTCATCAAACCCACCAACTCCTACACCTTCTTCAGATTATACCCCTTCTTTAGCTCAATCCTCAACATCAACCCAATCATCATCCACTACTAACCGTGCATATAGAACTTTCAAAAGAAAGTGTCCTAATCACCCGTTTACTTCCAAAACCGGAATAGCCCGCGATTATGTAAACCAACCTGACTATACTAATACTCCCGAGTTTCTCCAAATTTCCTTACCCCTCTTCCCTCAATATACATATAGTCACTCCAACCCTCACACTGAACAACCCCACTATGTCGATGAGCATCTATTAATCCTCACACTCCATTGGACATCATTTTATCATTTCTCAAACCCACTTTGTATACTACTCATTAACACAACTCAAGAATTCGAAAAAAGTAATATTGATTTTTTTAGACTAACCACAGCACTAACACCTAGACAATGTACGCACGTAGGATACAAAAAGCTATTAAAAATATTCACCGCACCCCGAGCTAACGAGTCCTCCATCGAGCACTATCACCACAAAATCATCAGACCCAATCAAGATCAATTCCTCGACAACGATAAGTTTGCTAACCCGCAACTAACCGAAAAATTTTTCATCCGAACACCCTACATTTTTACACTAAGCTCAATAGATAAAAAAACACAATCACATCATTTCAGAAGCACTAATCGACATCCACGCTTATGAATCAATTTACGAAAAGTTTGAAAGTTTTTCACTAACTTTCCACTTCCTCACTCCGAAAGAACGAGGTCTGCACTGTTCACACGACATCATGTTAAGAACTAAACAAACGCTTACTTACACTTACTATAAATTCATCCAAAATCACTTTGACGTACATACACCATCATGACAACCCCATCATCGATTTCAATTTATTAACTCTAAATATACATCACCATTCTTCCTTAATTTCACATATTGCATCAAAAAAACTAACTTTCAAGGCATCCTCCGTAATTATGACCCCATAACCCAAATATAAATATTTTGTCCACTCACCAGGACCTTCAATGTAGAAAAATCCCGACCTCTCATTGTCCCGCATGAATATATTCAATCTGTAGAAATCCCAATTTTAGAATTCATTCACAATACTAAAAATAATCACAAGCTTTTTAACCTTATCCAGCACACGCATCATGAATTTTCCATTGGCACAGAAGAACTAAAGACCATTAAAGCACTTCAATTGCTTTGGCCATTACTTCATACTAAAAATATCATTCGCATATTAGACAAGCTACTAACCACATCAGACGCTATACACGATATCTTCCCTAATGGCTTCTTTCCCGATGACTAGGTAAATATGAATTGAATAATTTATCACTAATAAATTCGAATTAAACTAACCATTCTTTATTAAATGTTTTTTCTTTAGTCTTTAGATCACGATCATCGACAAACAAGAAAACAAAATAAAAATTACGAACCCGTTCATAAATTATAAAATTCTATTAACAAACCGCAATGAATGATGCAGTAAAATTTCTTCTCCACAGTAGTAAATTAATCTAAAAATTCTTTTCCGCAATGTAGTAAATCTAATTACAATGAAAAGAATTGAATAATTTCAATCCCCACAAAGCAGTAAATTTAAAATTTTCAGTAGTAAATCTATACAAATGCAAGCAGTACTAACCTTTAAAAGACAAAATTCACTCGCACACAAACTCTATCCACACTCACACAGCTCGCCCAAGACGAATTGTTTAAAATAATGAATTCAAGTTTTAACTTTCGCTAACAACAATTCAAACTTGTAATAACAAGTTTCCAACTTTCTTTTAACCCGGTTGGAAAGGAATTATATAATGATCCCAACTAACCAACGCAGCTTACTAAACACCATAAACCACAAACTAACAGCATGACTAAGAAAAGAAAACCCAAGGTACCCAAACCGGATAAAACCAGCTTAAAGAACCCGATAATTTATTCTTTTGAAGACTATTGACAAGTCTGAAAAAGAAAGAATAAAACACCAAAAAGTCCAAAGACAAACCCAAACCAAACAATTTGATTTTTGAAAAAAGGACAAAACCAGAACAGCAAAAGGAAAAAACCAGTAACAAACATGACACAAAAGGTTAACACAAAACAGGACCCCATAAAAAACCAGCATGCAATCATACCCTCACTCCTGGCCTAACCCACCAGAAGAGGACGTCCTGAGCATGCTTAATAGCCAGCCTAACCCACCGTGCTAGAACCCACGCTTTGTGACACACTCCCTATTTTTGACAAGAGGTACTCAAGTGTGAATAACTCTTTTAGAATAACCGAACTAAAATAAAAAAGCTTTTGCGATAAAAACTAATAAAAAATCATAACTAAAAGAAGAACTAACTAAACATTTATTTATGTAGATTACATAATGCAGTAAAATAGATCATACACAATCACGAAGACGAGCATCAAGAAACAAAGACGACCCCATCACACTCAACCCACAGAATGGCCAAACACAACCGATATGCCGCTCATAACCACAACTCAAAGGATTTGAAGTACGACTTGACACCAAAGCAAAGGACTTCATTGAACCAGACCAATGACCACCTGGATGTTCAAGTATACGTATAGATCCGAGTTACAAGGCATTCCCTCCAAACTCGAGCTTTACGCCATTCCCAAACAAGACCGAAGCACAGTTCTCCAAACCGATCAAGAACAAACGATCACAACAAACCATTTGGAATCAGATTGATTTCGTTGGCGGTCACAGTCATTGTTGGATGACAGAACAACATCTACGATGCCAGCTTCCTGGAGTTTTCACCTCCAAGAACGGAATAGAAATGATGCTCGCGAAATACAAACGATCATCATCCATCCTCCATTACAGATAGAAGTCAAAAGAACAAAAACTCTGTAAACCCCGGATGGGTGGAACCAGATCCAAACTATATATTATTATTGGTTATAAATTAGATATTTCATCCCTATAAAATATTAAATACTAACCAATCACACTCCATCAAACTAACAACCCATTTATTTGTAAGTGCTGAAATTACTTGTAATTTCAGCACCAGGGCATTTTGAATTTAACTTACAACTTAGTTGCTTTCTCCAAGAGACCGTTTCGTAACAAAACCAGTATACACTAGATCTATTGAGACTAAGAGATTTAGATCGGTATTAGACTAAGAAGTTGCACGAATCTATCCGGCCGAAAAAAAGATAGCGTGACGAGCAGACGGTGTACCTTATCTGAAATTACTCTATGAGTTTACCTCTAATCTAAACTCAATGTTTAGGAATATGAAAAATTAAAACATTGTTCATGGGGTTTTTCTTGTGTATGAATTATGCATTTCAAAATCCGGCTGATCTAACTTTCTGATGCCGCTCTTAAGTGGTGCAATGTCATGAAGAAGGCTTATGATGAACTAAACTTGCCTATTTTTTTCAAAATCAACATTTTAATGATAAAAATTTAGCGTTTTTAGGTGCTTGTAATGTTTAAATTTCCGCTTGAAGTCCCTTTGGCTTGAAGTCCCGTCGGCTTGTTGTCCTAGACCCCTCGTAAGGTTTTGCGATCTAGCATCGGCGCGACCGACTAATTCAAACATTTAATTGTGGATCTTGACGCGGGATGCAAAAGCAATGATCAATTTTCATTCCACTTTACCGCTTTAGCTTCCAAGTACTTTTTTAGTGTTTCGTTAAAAGTTGAGATAGCATTATAAAATTGATTTCAACTTAGCTTAACAATGTTAAGTGTTATTTTTGATAAGTCCACCAGTTTTTCAAGTTTGAAAGTGCGGCTAGAACAAAAACTTCACCAACGGTCTTTTAAAGTTGTTGTTTGTACATTTTTCTAGTTTTACATGCGTCTTGGAGCCGCTGTTTTGTCTTTTGATCTTGTGTTAGATAATTCCACTCCATCATGATTCCTGCTTGTCGCACGCTAGTGATACATGAGTCCAGCTCAAGGCGAAAAACGCCAATCGATACAAAACATGGTTTTTGACAACAGGTCAGTGGTTTTTCAACAAAACGCATCTTGTACAAATTTCGTTTTTCTCGTTTTTCTGGAACTGTGTCTTAACTTCCTGTTGAGTAAATGATTAAAGCAATACCCAGCGGAAGTTTTGTCATAATGAGCCGGTCATAATGGTCATCAGTACCAATAATGGTCATCTCAGAACTTTTTTTTGAAATGACAGCGAGATCATTTTCTACTATCCGAAAAATGTCTAACTCAATTCTTTCGTTTGAACAGATTATTTCAGCGTGTTTGCGCCATATTTGGCGAGGCGTAATGCTAATACAATGTAAACGCTGAAAAAAGAGACTATAAAAGAGATATTTTTAAGTATGAATTATAACTGACAGTAAAATACGCTGCTTGTTCTGCTTGTACATAGTTCTTTAAGCAGCATCTGAATAAACTTGAATCTGAGCTCCTTCTTAGCATATTTTTCAAAATTGAATTATTGAACAGGGATGACAAAAACTGACAGTTTTCGCGGGCGGGTAGCGACGTGCAATCCTGGTCCGATTTTTAAAGCACAGTTCCTAACTAGCAGTTATTGCAATTGTACGTGACAGATTTGATGCTTTTCCCTGAATTAGCTAGGACTTATACCCATGCCCTGAAGGACCCTTGAAAGTAAAACGAGTACTTCGTCTAAACTGCTGAAATAATAGCCCATAGGAAGCTGTAATTAAGGTGTAAATGTCTTACTTTTTAGCCCCGATGATTGCATTACATTTTGCGCTTTATTAAATTCTGTTGGCTATCCAGTAATTTCCTTGGCTATCCAGCAAATTTCCTTCAGGCTATATTTATTGATTTCCAGTTTTAACGGTATCTTAAATCCAACAATAGTTCTAAATTGACATGCTGAAAAATGAGATGAAAATTTAGCTTCAAACAAATTCTTGTTTGTTCGAACGGTGAGCTCAACTTAAAAAATGTGCGCGGTTATTTGAGTTTTGATCGATTTTTTTTTGCAAAAGTTTACACGACGTCATGAATTATTTCAACCTGGATTCTCAGATTAATCCTTGCGCCAATTTTATGGACCCTTTAATTGACCATTTCTTGCAACAGTAATTACAATACAACCGCTGCTTTTTGCCGTAGTTATATTTATTCTCTGGTGCTCCGAAAACCAGCTATGAGGTAAGTCTAAATTTGACAATCCATAAAAAATAGTTTTCTTTTGGTACTTGTTGCAATGCATGTCCGCACTTTGTTAAAATATTTCAATTGAAATTAGGGGCAGGTTCTGTGAAGTAAATTTTAGAGGGTAAACGGTTCTTAAATATCTCAAAAAGATGTAATTAATTATTTTTTTAAATTTTTTTTTAAACAAGCCTGATCCATTCAATACATGATACAGAATAAAGCAACTCCGGAAAATATTATGACACGTCAAGCGTCCTTTGAACGTTTTATAGTTAAGTTAACGTTTTATATCCTTTCAAAATTGTCTCAAAAAGAAACGAGGAAAAACCTCTCCTCCTGACTCGACACGTCATGAAACTTTTAAGACTCAAAAAATGAAGTTAACATGCTTCATACCCAAACTGTTTTAGGGTGTGGACGCAACGCAACCTTCAGGGTTTCAGGGCCAGTGTTTTGCATATACCGTTAGGCATTTTCAATCCGAAATCCTTTCAGAAGTTACTATCTTAGGTTTCTTAGGTCTCTAATATCTTAGGTCGACCGAAAGTCACCAGGTTAGTCTCGCCGGTAAGCCACTATATTACAACTACTACCTTTTTTCGAGAGGTCCCAACCGGAAGACACCATATTATGATTTTCTTTTCAGAAAATTAGAAGATAGGAACTTTCCTTTAAAAGCATTTGTTTTCATATTGTGATCAATAAGTTCTTTTAATTTTTTTATGCAGAAATAGTTCTCTGCTATCCAGGTTACATATCCGGTAATCTCGATGGCAAAACTAAACCATTCGCCACTTGAGTTAACCAAATGAGCATCTTGCACGATAACTAGGTTGCGCATTTCTCTAAAATATATATCTAAGCCACCCCATAATACGTCAGGTCCGATTCTGTGCGGCATTATTGATCATAATCAAGGTTTTTTGGGACGTTTAACTGGTCCCAAAAACCATCTAAACTGTCTAGTTGCATAGTTTAAAAAAAATAAAAAGAATTGAAAATTTAAAATTTAAAATTAAATGCAAAATAACACTCGGTAACCTTAAACTGAAAACTTTTACATGCCTAAAATCAAAATTTTTCTAAAAAAAAATAGTTTTCAGATCTTGTGAGGCTTCTAAATTGTCTTTTATTCCAGTAAACAAAATTTTGGCAATCTTTCGAGAATTTATAATCCATAAATAAATCAATATCAAAATTAGTATATACATGGGGGTACTTTGGAGAAGGTTCAAAAAATGAAAGATTGTTGTGTATTGTTGTGTAGATCCTAGAGCGAAAAGCGGGAGTATTGATTTAAACAGCGTTTAAGTTCAATTTAACAAGAACGATTGCTCATATCAGGACAAAACTATGAATTTTCCAAATGTGTTTTACTGTTTTTGAAGTAAGATTATTTTAATTATCAAAAATTAATAGAAAATTTTTGGAAACCACAATAGAGAACAGTTATTTTTAAGTTTACTTTTGGAAACCATCCATACTAGCAATGTCAATTACAAACAGATGAAATTTGCGTCTTCGACCGCATAATTTGGATTATTGAGCGTGCTTCACCTTAATTTCCAACAAGATTGCTTGTATCAGGGCAAAGCCTTGAATATTCCGACTACCTTTAAGGTTTATGGAGCAGTAAAAACATAAATAACATAAAAAAAACTGAATGAAATAAAATAAAACGAAAATTTGAAATTTTTTCTATAAAAATCATCCCCCCACACGCCATATAAAGCACAAAACAAAATTTCACCCCTTGTAACAAATCAATTATGGCAAATAAGCTTCTTTCAACCAATTTGGAACGATTTATATGACGGATTAAATCTCCGCTTACGCGTTAATAGCGCGAAATATATCGCGCGTTAATTGTCCCAAATTGGCCAAAATGGCAATCTTTAAACCCCTGTAACTTCACATAAAAAATGATCACAGGTGAAATATCTTTTCAAATTTGAGCTCAGGACAACAATACCTTTCGAATGATCTAAAAAAATTCCGTCAAAAATGGCTAGTTAAAAAGTCGAAATTTGTCTGAAGAAAAAAAAACTACCCCGAGCACAAATATTCCGTTACTTTTGTATCGAAAGTCGGAACAATGATTTCTGATTTGGATTAATTTGATGCATTTGTTAAGCGATTATGAAAAAAACTTCATGAAAAATAATCTGATCATTGTTTTGACTTAGGGCGAGCTCATTGCATAAAGGTTTTTCAATTTATTTTGTAAAATTGCGCCGGAAAGCGCTCTACGGGTCAAAATGCACTTTTAACTCGAAACATGCCTCGAGCATGGTCGAAAAAAAACACTTTCAGTTGAACTAGTCAAAACTTATAAGTATTTGGGAAAACAAGTTCGAGCACATGTTATATCGAAAAAAAATCATAGAATCATGCACTTATCAAGCCCAGACGGTCCAAAAAAAGTGTCATGGATCAAATAAAACCGAGCAGCAATTTTTTGTCTAAGTCAAAACCTTCAACAGCGCGTCAGAACTTACCTCGAGCATGGACGAAAAATCCTTGGAGCACTGTCGAAATTTTTTTCGGTCAAGTTGGTTGAAAGATATCTGGTTGAGTCAAACAAAAATATTTAGTTTTTTTATGGTCAATGAGGTCGAAATATACTTAATTTTAGTCAAGAAGGTTGAAGCATACACAGGAGTGTTCAAAATAGCTGGTCAGGAAACCCCCAAACCTTTAATTTTGTATTTTAGGGGGTCATTTTTCACTGATATTATATTCAAGTTTCATGCAACAAGCCAGTTTTTTCATAAGGTGTTTATAGTTCATCCTGAGCGGTAATGTTTTGGTCATTTATACAATGCTGATTTAAACTATCCGGACAAAAAGAACAAAACGTTAATTTTCAAACACAATTTTCTCAAAGTGGGCCAAGAAAAGACAAACAGTGAAGAGAGAGAAAGTTGCAGTATTAACATGGTCCAAATTTTTCTACGAAATTCTGAACCAAAACTTTGCCCCAAAAATGGGTCATTTTGGCTTTTTTCAATTCATCAAAAATTGCGCTGAAACTCCTTTATTAGTTGATGAGAAATATAAATCACAAGAAGCCACTTACACAGTCCAGCAAAGATCTAGAAGGGTAAATTTTCAAAAACCTATCTAAGCAAAAACATTGTAGCTTGATAATCAGGAAACGTGATTTTTACTATATAAAATCCAAAACCTTGGCTCAAAAACCAACTTTCAACAATTTACTCAAGTTTTTAGAGAATTAAACCTCCTAGAACTTTGTTGGGATGTGTAAGAGCCTTCTTGCGATATATATTCTTCATCAATTAACAAAGTGGTTTCGGCGTAATTCTCGATAAATTGAAAAAAGCCAAAATTACCCATTTCTTAGGTAAAATTTTGGTTGAAAGTTTCGGATAAAAAACTGGACCAAAATAAATCTGATGAAACTCTAAGCAACTTTTGTCTCATCTTCATTTTTTGTCTAATCTTGACCCAATTTGAGAAAAACCTGTTTGAAAATTCAAATTTTGTTCCTTTTGTATGGATAATTTATATCAGCGCTGTAATTCCAGAAAACTAACCTAATTGCTGTTTTCACTATGGTTTCTACTCAAGTCGATAAAAAGTCTATGGCTAATTTTAGATGGTTTGATATGATTATAATGCGTTCATTTGGATCTCTTTTTATTTTGCTCAAGCTGAAACAATTTTTTTGTTGTCCTATTCCGATCATCAGCGCTAATGTTTCTCATTAACGTTTAGCTGTTTTTGACACCTGATCTGAAAAGTCTTTCAAGTTTTTTTTGTCTGTTGTTGTTCTGCAGCAAAAGGCGTCAAGCTCATTAATTTTTCAAGGGGAGCAATTTGAGCCTATCAATTCGAACTCCTTGTTTCGTTATGCGAAGTTGTTTACACAGCAAGAACACCTATAAAACTATGGTATGATATATTGGCCATTTTTTTCTTTCAAGACAAATTTTCTAAAAAGTTGGTCTGGTCTTGCTAGTTCGCTTCAAATAATTACATCTAGAGTGTATCAAAGTTTCAATCTAGAGTGTTTCAATTGCTCTAATGAAATTATGTTGGTTATCTAGTAAATTTCTTGGCTGTTCAGCAAGTTTCCTTTGATCTAAACATTTTGATTTTTAGTTTGAACGGTCTTTTTACTCCTACGAATTTTCCAATTGGACGCGCTGAAAAACGAAATTAAATTTTAGCTTCTAACAAGTTTTTATTGTTTGAACGGTGAAATTAAACGGTGAAAAAACGGTGAAAAAACTTGAACGGTGAAAAAACTTGCGCGGTTATTTATTGAATCGATTTTTTTTTGCAAAAGTATACTTCTGCATGATTTATTTCAACCCAAATTCTCAATTTAAAACACGCACCAGTTTTATTATCTTTTAGTTGACAATTCCCTGCAAGAATAATTACAAAACATCCACTGTGTTTTGCAGTAGTTATAATTATTCTCTAGTGCTCCTAAAATCAGCTCTGAAAAATTTTCATATTTGACCACCCATAACAAATTTTTATTTGGATGTGTTTTGAGCAATGCATATCGGTAATATGCTAAGATATTTGAATTGAGATTTCTTGAAGGTTAGTTTCAAAGGGTACGGTTTTTGAAATGCTACAAAATGATCTAGTGCTAATTTAACTCTCAAGCTTTATGTGTACGCAAGCCTGATCCTTTTTTTAAATTAAAAAAAAAACAAATAAAAAAGCTCTGAAAAAAGAGTATGACACGTACAATGTCTTTTTAAATTTTAGCTTGTTTTACTTGAATAACTGTTTTGAACCATTAAAAAAAGCAAAAAAAAAGAAAAAATCTCTCCTTCTGGTTGGACATGTCTTGAGAACTTGTAAGACTCAAACTGTGAAGTTAGCAGGCTTTATACCTAATCTTTTTTAGCGGAAGGTTGTAACTGCTTTTTTGCATATACCGTTAGACATTTTATTTTAAATCTCGTCAAAAGTCACCATTTCAGGTCTCGACTGAAAATCACTATTTTAAA